TACTTTAATTTTAATATAACAAGCCACCTAAAACTGGTTTTGCTCAGGAAGTGGATTCAAAAGATCTTCAACTGCACTCAAGATGCGATGCTTACTGATTTCCAAGTTTATCTAGAAAGCAAAGAACTAGATGATAAATATACCTTATAATCTACTAGAATCCAAACTGCTCAAATCTGGTAGTGTTTCCCAGTGTCTTCGGGAACACTTCAGAAGACATTTCAGAAACAACTGTCAAGTTCACTGCAGAGCTGACTGAGTGTTGGGGCCATTACATTAGAGTGCTCAGCAGAAGCTCAAACAGCTTCTACCGCACACCAGGAGGCCTTTGATGAAGAAATACACTTAATAAAATGGAACTCTAGGGAAAAGCAGATGTACCAGGCAACTCTCAATCACTTTGATTTTGGATCAGCTAACAGTTTTAAGCATAGCACCACTAATTTTTCAGTTTTATTAACAAGCTATGATTCCTACTTTCCAACCTTTAATAAATGGACTGTCGGCTCCTCCTCACTCAGAAAAAAAGCCAAAGCTTAAGAAAGCTTATTCCACTCCATACCTCTTATAGAACTGACTTTTTAATACATATGTATTTTTATGAAGCTCACTAAGATCTACTTACAATCCTTATGAGGACTTCATGAAATCAAATGTCTGTTTTTTGAGCCATGTTTACTACAAATATGCTAGTCCTTTCCTTAGGCTAAGGTCCTCACCTTCATCTATAGCACAGCTGCTTACATTCTTCCCAAAATCATATTTTGTAGACTGTAAAGTAAGATTTTATGGTACATCTATCAAAAGGGCCCTCCAGTATTACTTAGTATTTCCAAGCTAATCCCCAAATGCCTCAATGTGACATAAAACATCCAGGCTAAGAGCAACTCTGCATAAAAGCTTTCCATTAGTTTACTACACATGAGTGCTGGATAGACAAGAAGTTACTTTTAGAGATAAGGTTATATTCACATTATGCTGTACTTTACAGCTATTGTTTCAAAACAGCCCTACTGACATACTGTTAACAAAAAATCACTACTAAAAGTTGTACATACAACTGATTTCTTGGACTCAACTTCCAGAGAAGTCCTCAAGCTGCTTTAATTAACATTCTTTGTATTTATGAGGGTCTACACTAAAGAGAAAATAGTCATCAGGAACAAAACTCTTTGTCAACAATTTCTAATGAAAAATAAAAAAGCAGTGCAGAATTAAGATCACACCTTGTTTTAACCCACTCTCCTGACTATTCACCAAATTTCTTCAGAGTAATTTCCTCTTTTTTTCAAATCAGTATAAGAAATGAAAGGTGATTGGGAACAGTTCCATACAAGCACAGGTACTTGCTTGAATTTTCCTACTTTGCACTTGTGATCCATACCAGAAGTATGTGTCTATGGTAAAGGCTGAAAAACTAAACACACTAAAGAATATAACTGTTTTAAAATTCATTCATAAGGACTTATTGTTTCCTGCTTTAAGGATATTTATCTACTACTTTTCGTTTGAAAACTGCACTTGCTGCACTCAGCTAGCATCCACCCATACGTAAGAGAGGGGAGTTTCATGATTCTGCTCCTGGTTCAAATCATGTTGCCATGGAAGCAGATGTTGGATTGATGAAAGCAGGTCAACTGTTCAAAAAACAATCACTGTTTTAATACTTCAGGATTATTCTTAAATGTTATTATTTTAATGTTTACCATTATTTACTATTAAATGCTTAATAATTTATTCTCTTTAATTAGCATTTGCTTTGCTGATGCAATACGTATTCCCACCAAAAATGCAGCCAGCAGCAGAATTAGTGTTGTTAATGGAAAAAAAAAAAATCACAAATCCGTAGGGGCTGGGGACAGAACACTTACAATCAATCACACAGTTCTTCATTACATCTGTACTGAGTGAGGTCAAATGTTGCCACATAAACATATTTCCATTGGAAAGGTGTTAGTATTATTATTAAAATGCTCCAACATTTTTTGGGGGAGAATGAAAAAAAAAATCAGGATATTGCTAATACCTATGCTTGGCTTTGGTAGAAAACAGTGCTTTTTCCGTTCAGATTTCATCAGATATATAAATATTTAACTGGAGTATTAATTACTTAAACCTAATAAAAATATGTAATGACAACTCAGATTTAAGTTGGTTACCCCATCAATTGAACATGTGAAAGCATACAGAGCCTACTACAAGAAATTTCTTGTGTACCTTAACATTTTCACTCTGCCTGCCAAGCTGCTGTTGAAATAGCCTACACTGTAAAATTCTCATCTTCACCTGGAGCAAACACCAGAAAGTAAAATAGCTCACCTGTACCTTGTGTTTCTGAATCTCTACTAGGTGATCTAAAATAGTTTTCTATCAGCACCCTGATACATCTGACAATTTTTTCCCACCTGGACACTTATGTACTTCAATGTATTAGGTTTGTTCTACAGGTTTAATGTGATATATTCTGATCTTGAGTTTTTCTTTATAACTGAAATGCACTGTTTAATCATTAATAAATATGATACAGGTGCATAGGAATACTGACAATAGATGAAATTTGTGCTCTTCTCCTAGTTTAAGGACCTTCCTGTAGATGAAGCAATACTAATCTGATTCATCACGCACCAGATAAAAGAAAATGTCACTGTAACAGATAAGATGGAAATAAATACCCAGGAAGCAAAGGAAAAATAGCCTCATCTCTTCAAGAGGCCATAAATCCATACTGCTGCTGTTCACAGTTGCACAGCATCTAGTTATCCTCCCTTCTTTCTACCTTTTGCAATCAATGATTTAATCTATGTACAATATAACTACTGATTAAAAAAACCACTTCTGTAACTGAGAACATGTTTAACTGTCAACACAATGGAAACTGCCTTCAACAGAAGCTAAAATCCTGTCTGTTGTGTTCATTTTCATATAGTTTTTTAATGACATTTACATATAAGGTGTGTTTCACTTTGAAGAACTCTTTTGGACTCCAGAAACTTCGTAAGTTGTGTTACAAAACTTCTCTTGCAAGATTGTACAATCTGAGCTATTCTCTGACTCCTAAAACAAACGAACAAAAAAAAAAAAAGACAACCACAAACCCAAACCTGTTAAGTTGTTAAATATTGCTTGAAATGTACTGAAATACTGTCCCTTAAGAGACTGCAAAAATTTCAAGTTTCACATTGAACAGTTTTGGAATTGTTTACAACCAACAACATTCCAAAAATCACATGGCTTGTTATGCTGCAGAAAAGTACTATAAAACTCGTATGTTAGTGTTGTGTCTTTGTGTTTTTTCAGACAATAAATAGTTTGTAACAGCACAAACATCCAGAAAAATAATCCAGACCAGCATACTTAAAAGTATCAAGAATACTGGATACTTGTGATTAAAACGATCTTTTACATATAAATTTTCTGACAGGTACATTATGGGTTGTTTTGAAGTTTTTTTTAACCAAGAAGATCACCAAGAGAAAAACGTGACTTTTACTAAGTGGTTGTCTTTCTTCTCTGGCTCATCCACCACTGGCCTCCATCAGTCCCTTCATACAATGTAGTTAATTATAGATTGGTGGTGTTTGCCAAAGTTTGTTCTTGGTATAAGATAAATCTTTTACCTTTCCTCCCCTCAGTACTAATTCACCTTTCTCTTCAGACTTTTTTCCCTTTGTTTACTTAATCTCCCTTTCCACAGAATTTATACTTTGTGATACACTGTTAAAATGGAATTTCAAGAGTGACCTAATCACCATACTGTGATTCCTGTCATCTAAAGGATTGTATATAGGCAAAATTTAAATTTAGAGAGAAAACACCGGTATTCTCCTACAGCCTATCAAGAAACAAAGGTCCCATGTAGCCAGCTTCACATTAAAAAGGTAAGATGGGAATAAATACATGAAAAAACAAAGGCAAAAACAGCTCAATCTCTTTAGACTGTCATAAATCCAAACAGTTGACATTTAGTCATACAGTTTTCATAATATGATCTCTCTAGATTATGTTGTCTAGTAATGAACTATAGATTACATTTAAATTGCTAAAGTAGTTTTATATTAAAATACCTCACTGAAGTTAACGCAAATGTTCACACATTCTTAAAAGAAGAATACATCAGGCTGTAAACTTGAATTTCAGCAAACAACCTGACACCCTGCAAACCTTGAGGCTTGAAAAATAAAACTCAAAGCAAGCTCATTATTCATTGCATAACTCAAAACACCTGTAAAAATAACCTCCATAAGGTGATGCAATTTAACAGCTACGTATAGGCAACCTGGACTTTTTGCCACAAGAAAAGCAGTCCAATTCCTAAAACCTAAAACAGCATAATATTGAAAGTCAAGGCAATGCAATACAAGAAAGTTCCAAAAGATAGATACGACAGGATAACACAATCTCAGTTATTGTAGAAGATGACCATAGTCATCCCTCCTTGCCTAAAAAGGAATGACACTAAAGTGTTTGCTACACAGAATTAGGAAAAAATGAAACCAAATGGTGTTACAATCACTAGTATTTATAGTCATCATACATACGTGTTTCAGATATTGCTTAGAGGAAACTAAGATTATGTCCATAAAGATTATGTAGGAGGTCTTTACAAGATATGCTGGGGTCACAAATCAAGTAGAGAAACATTCAGTTCAGAAAAATACGACTATTTTGCTTCTTGAAATAGCACTATTAAATTCTTGAAATACATGACACAGTATATACACAGTATCTTTTGAATGTATGGAAAAGTATGGCAACAACATTCACAATACATAAGAACACACACAAAAAAAGAAATCAAAAGGCAAGACTTTGAAACACTTCTCTGGTAGTGAATTCTTCATTTCCTTTTAATAGAATTCTTCATTTCCTTTTAATACATGGAGGAAAAAAAACCAAAACAACAAAACAAAAACAAACCAAACCTGCTCCCTAGCATTATTTCCACTGTTGTTCATGTTATTTGCCACTAAAAAACATGTACTGTTCGAAGGCAGACTTACCTCTACCAATGCCACAGTCAGAACAAGGTCCATTTTTGAGTCTGGAAAAAGGGCATCCACTTGTGGAGACATTCCAATCAGTATGCAATTAGTGACTACTGATATTACACTCATAGTTTCAAAAGCCAGCTGAAACAAAACACAAATATATTTACAGTTTATGATCCTTTTCTCTAATTTACCAGTCCCCAAATTGCTCTGGACAATACCTCTCTCTTCATTAAATTCTCAGAAGACCCATTACATTAACTTTTTATTTTCCTTCATCTTTTGAATTCTATGCCATAAGACTTGTTTGGCAAGCAGACAAGGCTTTATCAGCTTTCAGAATTGGCAAGCACAAGACCACAAGGTCTGCAATACCACAAAGACCATCTGGCAACCATGAATGTTTCTCTAATTTTTCTAAGTGTCTGAATGCGTGATTCTATGAAGTTAAACACTATTCTTCCACAGTTCTGTAGTACTGTAAAGACCTTGAGAAGTTATTTACAGACCACTAAAATCCTAGATGTAATTAATGCCAGATCACCTCCTGAAAAATCTGGAGTAATCCTAAAGGAAAAAAAGTGCACAGGAAAGCAACCTTATCCCTGCTATGTTCATAACTCAATCTGAACACAGAAAAGATCATGCACTCATCTACAGTTGTACTCCCAAACAAATTTCTTTCAGGATAAAGGAAAAAAGCAAAACTCCTAGAGGAACTAAAAGTCCCCACATTCCATTTTTGGACATTTTGTCTCAAAGTTAAGTAACAGTAAAATTTAAGGATGGTTCAGAATGCCTTTCTTAAACCACAGCCAGTTACACAAGCTGAAATTTGTTGAAAGATCCACATATAAACACATGCAATTGCACAGGTCTAAGAAGTTCACGCAAAATGCCTGAAAATATTACTACAGGTGACAATTACTCTTGCAATGTAAGTTACTTATTGCAAGGTTCTCTCTGGAATGAGAAAGACTGAAATTGAATTGTAGCAATTGTCACAATGAATTAGCCAAAGTAACTTTCTCCTTTACAACAAGCTGGTGACTCAGCTCACCTGATAAAATAACTCCTGTTCTCCTTTAATAGAAATCTTTCAGACAATGCTTTAACTTTCCACACAAAACAGATAACTAAATTTGTAATTCATTGTTTTTAATTTACTATTAGCTAAAAACCTACATGACTGTACCATTGGTGTTATGGTTTCTCAGCCTTCTCCCTTGATTGAAAAACTGTTCTAGCAAAACCAAATGCTATTACCATACCTGCAGCTACTTCATTTATTGTTATTGACCACTGGTCAATGCAGTATGCCATCAAGATATTGGCAGCATAGAACGGGACTGAGAAAGTACATCAGATGTTAAAAAGCAATCAGATTATAATTTACACATTTTAATGACTTAATATTAAGACTTCTCTTCCAAGTCCACTTCATTAATACCTATGTATGTGTCTAATGGACATTTCTCCGAATACTAAGTTTGCATGTTTTTAAAGTATGTTTCATCTGAGGTTTCCTGATTTCATCTCTCATCTTGTTTGATTTGGCACCAACATTTGCAACCCCTTCAAATTAAACAATCCACTACTTTATCCCCTTTGTCTCCTTTACCTATAATTATAAAAGTTGTTAAATAAAACTAGAATATGGATCATTCCTTAGACATTTCCTCCAACTGCCTCATACTCCTTATCACACCACTGCTATTACAGAATGCTAAAGTCTGTGGGTGAGACTTAATAGCCTTCTTCCTTAAAAAAAATAATAAAAAAATAATACAAAAAACAACCTCTGATTCTGGAGGAGTTTTTCAGGGTTATTTTTAGTCAGAATCGGTTCACTGACGCAGCGTGCACAGCAGGCTCCAAACTAGCTGGCGCTAACGTGACTGCATGGGCAAACAACTAAGGACAGAAAATCCTTAACCCAGTACTACCAGCATGAAATTGTTTAGATAGACTACAATGTTCAGGCTGTGTAGAAAGGTCCAGCTCCTGCTCACAGACCTAGGTTATTTTAAAATTAGACAGTTTGAGTATCAGTGATCACAAGGGCACACAGACAAGTATGGCTTTGGAGTCCAAGTACTTACCTATTCTTCAACTTGTCTAAAACCTTGCTGAGCTGAACACTTCTGAGATTGCATCAGATGTTACCATTTCCAAAATATGTTGCCTGTAAAGTGTACCAGGCAGTATCTGGCAACTTTGCTTTGTTGCAGTTCCAACAGGAGTATAATACAAACATATACAAGGACTAAAGGAAGGATCTGTTTTCTTTTCAAAGAAAAGTCACTTGGATATACAGTTGGATAGATACTATCCTAAGGCACTGAAGAGAACAAAGTACCTACTAAACTTTAAAGTGGCTGATGGGTCAAACACCCAGCTTAAATACATTTGTTGAAACCTCTTTTAAAACACATGAATAGAAAAAGACACAAATATTACCTGCCAAACACCAATATTTGCTGTGGGTTCTGCAAACGGACGCTTGTAAACTCTACACATTTTTAAGGCATCAGAATATATCTCTGTGATGTTGTTTAACACTGCAAATACAGCTGCCAGTGGATAAACACATGAGAAAAGACTCACATAGCCAAACTGTAAGAACAATTCCAGGTAATCATCAAAAGTACCCTGAAAAACAAAGCAAAAATAAAAACAACTTTAACTCACAAAAAGACATGAAGAAACACAGAATGAACAATACAGTTGTAAACACATTTCCTCATCCCACATCAGTTGTTTGGGAATGACTGGTGATAGAAAACAACAAAGAACCCCATCCAGTTAATTTGGAATTATCCAATTACTCAAAACCTTTTAATAAGAGGAAGCCAAGGTTTCCCCTTTTGCCCAACGCATTTTCCGGAACAGTCATGCTTCTTATCCTTATTACATGAAGTAAGTGTATAAACACATTCATCCCAGTTAAGTTCCTGACCATCTCAGTGAAACAGTTACAGAAGGAACAGTGGGAGATAGGAAAACAGCACTGTGCATTTAAACTGGGAGAACCTTCTCCTAACAGCATTGTGACAAGAAAAGTCCTAGTATGCCAGGCTGTCCATGAAAGACCTAACTAGAAAGGTATGCTGGTAGAGAGGTAACTCTTTTCTGGTATTTCTGCCTGTAAGTCCAAATTAGTGGCCCACTCGAAGGCTGAAATGACAGAATGAAGCACTGACATTTGAAAGGAACAATTAGAGCAAAAAGCCCTGTTTTCACATATCTGCAACACATCTACCACCTGACCTTTAAACCAAGAACAGAGGTACTTAAATGCTGGTTAAGTATTCACATGTAGGTTACCGTATATATTTGTGTATCAGTTTTGCAGTATTAATCATAGTTTTTTGTAATTGCATTAATTATTTATGAAAGTGAAGAACCAAACCAATCATTTTTAACAAAAAAGTGTTCATTGAACAAAGGACGGTGAAATACCATGAACAAGTTAAACTGAGATCTAGCTATCCTGTATTTGCCCAGACCCACATAACTGTCCTCTCTCTCAAAAATGAAATAATAAAGAATTGACAGTAACAGACTATTACAGGAACCACATAAAATTGGTTTTGGCTCCATGCATCTGACACACGGTTTTCTAGTATTTTTAGCTCAATATAGCTGTTAAACTGACTGCCCTCTCCAGCACCTTGTGCTTTTGTCCCTAGCAAACAGAGAGAGGCAGTAGAAGCCTATAAGCTCAGAAATCAACTTGGGGTGGTCATTCACTAGCTGCATTCTTCACTTAAGCTCATTTTCAAGTTGCACAGTATATCTAGGTCTGGATCTGCAGGCCAAGCCATGAGAAGCTACCTAACTTTTAAAACCATTGAGATTTTTTCCACAGAAATGTTTTGTATGAGGAAGGTGGGACATTTGTGCAAGATCACTCACTGGAGCGGCAGTCACATGTCTGTCCCTGCTATCACTTTCTTAGACAACTGCTGTAGGCAGGCAGCGATGCTTCCCTTTGTGCTCCTCCTTCTGGTAACTGCACAATATTCCCACTGCTTCCTCACACCTTTCTTTCCATTTCCTTGCCCAGTATCTACTGACTTTTAGAAGAGCAGAGGATGAAAAGAAAAGGACTATTTATTCTTCTCCTACTCAATTGATGACGCTTTATGTAGGAAAACAGGAGTCTGGTTAACGAAATTTCAAAGTGTGCCACTGTCAGCCACAAGAGTAGCACATGAACTATGGCATCAAGGTAACAGAACCAACAAAGAAATACTGGGAGAAAATTATCATCAAGAGGAGAGAAGCAGAAATAACAAAAAATAAATACTGCAGGATATTTGTACATCTTAAACCGGGTTAAGGGCTGGAGATTCAAAAAGCAAGAGAGAAAGAGGACAAAGAATTAGATGTTAGAGAGTAAGTGAAGGAAGGAAAACAAAAGAGAAGAGCCTGAAATGCTGAATTCTGTCAAGACTCCTGCAAAACTCCTCAGTTACTAAAGATAGTCAAATGCTTCCCCCTTGTGACAGATTTAATTTTAGAAATACTCTTGCCTGCTCACAGCTCCCTGCTTGCAAACAAATCAGTGGTTTAATATCATGTGTTGATGAGTACAGCACAATTAAAATCTTTAGTTTGAAAATAATATTAAAGGTGTTGAGCACACAGTAACTTGAACCGAAACTAAGGTTAGCAGTGGACACCTCCAAGGCAGTCTTAACTCTACAGTTGACCTGTTGGCTCCCCTTGGAAAATTATTCAGGGCAGAATGGTACAACAGGTGCAGATACATTTGATCCCAGAAGCACCGGGCAATGTGACTTGAAGACATCACACTGGCTTTGTATGTCCCAGCTGAGAATCAGAAGTCAGCTCAGGGCTAGGAGGCAGAGCTTGTCTGGTCAGGCACATCAATGCCTGGTGCAGATACACAGCTTTTGGGGCTGTGCTGGTCTATTTTCAGACACAGTGCTGGACTGTGTAGATTTACCACTTCAGACAGACTCACTCAGGGATTTCTGCTGTGTTCTCCATCATCTGATGCTCCCTAAATCTATCTCCCCCATTATAAAATGTGGGAAATAATACCTTCCCAGAGGAACATAAGAATTAAAATTTGTACAGTTTTTCAATTGCAGAAGTAGTATTTCTTTTTCCTCTTCCCCTTTCATGGCATTTTATGCAGGAAGAGAAGAAACTGATACAGTATTAATATCAACTTTCAAACTGCTATTCTCTACCTTTTACATAAAAGGTATACTATCTACATATAGTTCTTATTCTGTAGAAGTATAAATCATACAGTATCAAGACTCTTGTGACTATGCTATCTATCAAGCAAGTTGTCAGCCAGCCTGTAAGGCCTTAACATACACACTACACACACTAATGTCTACTTTGTCAATTCCTTTAGAACTGCAAGTAATGAATTGCACAAACTGTGTTAAATATAATTTAAAATTGTACTGGGTAGGAGGTGGTCAAGAACAGAACTAGGAAGACAAAGAATGCCAAAGCTGTAGGTTCAAGAAGCAAGAGCTTCCAGCAGTTTTGGCTTAAAAAGTTGGTCTCATCTGCCCTCTCCTTTTCTGGCCACATGCAGAAAAGGGCACACTCTCTCAGGCTGTATTTTAACTGATAGTTTAAATTAGTATCACTGCAAAACCAAACTGAAACAGAAACAGCCTCCCCCTTCCCTATGCCAGGCTACCCATACTGGTAGTGCTAGTGTAGCTGGGATCAGTTTCTTGATCCAGTGCACTGTACAGCTCTATAAACAACACTACCAGCAAAATTGATGAAGTTGGAAATAAGCTGTCAGGCCAGCCAGAAACATTTAGTTAGGTTGCACTGGCTGATGCCTGTGTCAACTGCACCCCAGAAAACTTTTAACTCTTTTACAGCAGTAAAACGTACAAAATAGGTGCCCATTTCTTTCTCCAAGCTGACTTGTTCAACTAATGACAGGTCCGTGTCTGTTTTCAGAGAGCACATGCGTTTCTTCATCTTCTTCTTATGCCTCCTTTGGAGCCAGTAAGGAAGCAAGGATTCAGCAAACTGATTAAGGATCTGTGAAGTTATCAGCAAAGTGGCCAAGCTCTTAATAAAAAAAAAGGCAAAACAAACAAACAAAAATTAATAGATCTGTAATAAACTGATGATCATTTCCAAATTTTGTGCATTCTAGTAACGCTAAGTTGTTATACTATGACAAAAGAAGGCCAGCCTAACAAAACTAGCAAGGGCATATAAAAAGTATAGCTGCTTTAGTTCCCATTCTTTGTTATGTGCTAAAAAGGACAAAATAGGATGTCTAGGTATTTTGTGGATCTGGATGTATCTTGGATACAGTACACAAAGTCCAATAAAGGGTAAAGATACACACCTAACATAAACCAACACTAGTAACAGAGCAAAACAATGAACTTTTGACTATTTTTATTCTTCTTGCTTTTTACCTTAAGGTATAGGAAATGACATTAATGTCATGTCTGGTATGAGTATGTCAAATGTTTTGCTAACTATCTGTTTAGAGGAACATCGTTCTTATGTTAAAATTCCTGTTCTTTTGTTCATTATATTTAGAGCAGAAATATTTTCCTTATACCTGATTCTCATGCATTTGAGTTCAAAAATGCTAACAAGAGAGCTGATTTAAAATACCAACTACAAATTATTTTTGCTTTTATTTATTCTCAGCTCCTCATTGTAGTCATAAACTTAATCATTCTCCTATCCTCAAGAGTCATTCATTAAGAACACTACAGAGAAAATAACTTTCTAATATAAAGAGAAAGAAGGAGGAAATGAAAATTTTCAAGCCTCATCTGCGTGAGGGAATAATCAATTTATTTGAAGACATTTCCTCATTTATATGGAGGGAAAGAATTGCTCTACATTACTCTGTTATGATTCTGCAACTGTGCTAGAGGAACCGAAATATGGAAGCTGGATTTATAAGAAAATATTAACTCAGTAATGAATATATGTCATATATATTTTAGGAAAAGAATTAGAAATCAAAGTCCTATTTCAATCAACCCTTTATTTTCCTAGATTCATCAATGCACTTAAGATGTTCTTTGAACTCACCTGCCTCAAAAGCTTCATATCAAACAGCACAAAGGCAATGTAGAAGAGAGATGCAAAACAATTTAAGAAGTTGAACTGCAAATAAAAATACTTATTAGTACTCAAGCAGAAATTCAAATGTAGAATATTATTTAATTTAACAGTTATGTTGACGATATCACTTCCATGCAGATGTAAGTCATCTATTAAAGTTATCTTTACCATTTTTAAAACTTAGGTCAGAAAAAACTTAATTTTCAGTATTGGTCCTACTCAGATTTTCATTTGACAAGCTTTCCTAAAGCACAGTATACAAAGAAATGTAGACATAAAAAAAAAACCACGTCCCTTTCTACTTAACTTTAATCTTTTGCAATGGTAATGCAATAAAAGGGACATATAGGGCAACAATATCTTTCCCCAAAGAAATAGCTTAACAAAATACATGAGTTGGATGACATATCTCTCAATATGTACAACTGTTCCTCAATATGGGTTAGTTGAGCTTTACGTTTAATCACTTCAAGAGGTTTTACAAACAAGAGAAATATTTTGTACTTCTAAAATGAGACTTAATCACAGTATTGTACCTGAAAAATCATAATTGGCCTCTGAAGTAGGAAGAAACTTCTACTTGCTATCAGTGCTGGAGCTCATGGATTACATATATCATATTGGGGAGTGCAGAGAATCACTCGCAGGGTGAAAGGGAAACTTACACGGGCTTAACATTTGACATTTCATAATTTTTAAAGTTATTTTATATAAGTTTCCTATGGGAAAAGAGAGAGGGTGCTAGTTTTTGAGAAAGGCCGAGACAAAGGTATAAGTTATAGGTACTTGACTTTTAGCTCTCAAAGTTACCAGTAACAGAAAGATAACAGCAGATTAAAAAAAAAAATTAAAAAAATCACGTTGAGTTGAAGAGAAAAACCAAGGGAACTCTGGAAGAGACCTGAACTATCTTTTCAAAAAGCAAAGAAGATTAGGTGGCAAAATCAGCTACTCTTTACCACTGCTTTTACTGAACATCTTATACAGGAATTCAAGATTTACAGTACAGTTCCTCAGAATCAGTGTTGCACCTGGATATACACCAAAAGGGCAACCAAACATAAATACATACACACACAAAGTTTTGTTCAGAGCCACCAAGTAAATAGACCAGTATATACTATAAACTGCATATGAGGAAACCGATGGACATTTATCTGCAGCCTCCTCTAACTGGCTGTCTGAATGTCAGTAAAGGTGGAAGTTAATACATGAACCTTTTAAAATATAGTTTACTTGAAAATCTTGAAATAAGTGAAAGGAAGAGTTCCCAGTTGAAGACAGGGCCGCATTAATTAACAGAAAAACTGACATGTACAGAATCCTAAGGACAGAACATATCAATACAAATAAAAACCCAACTCTCAACTATAAAACGAGGCATCTAAAACAGTCTAGCAGTTACTGCAACCACAACAGAAATCCTGTTTACTATGATATTTGTGCTAGTATTTGGCTTTGAACAAAGCTGTAGGTCAGTGAGGCAATGCGAGGAAAGCACTAATAAAACACATGACAAATTCTCTTTTTAAGTAATCTTAAAAGCTGCTTATACTACATACTTACCACTAAAACCTTCAGAACTAAATGATTCTGGTAGGAAGATTCCAGCCTGTGATTTTCTAAAATAACAACAAAATTATTGATTAGTAAACAGCAGAAGCACAGTAGACATTGTTATACAAAGAGCAAACTGACATTTTTCTTCGACCTAAAAATTACCTAATAATTTACAGGGAATAGCTCCTCCACCATACTATGGCAAAACAAGTTAATACTGAAACAGTACCTCACTTAACCTATGAAGCTAATCTGATGCACAATATTGACATATATGTTTTTGGCTACAGCTCTGGTATTTTTGCTACTGCAAAGGTTTTTCCTTTTACATTTTTCTTTCTCAGAAGAGCTGTTCTGTAACGGAAGAATCATCCATCATTCTTAGCACTTTATTAAGTGTGCCTAGTTATTGATTTTTCTTTGGCTGAAAACAAATACAAAACTAATTGGAATATATTATGAAAAATTACAATACCAGATTTGATTCAAAATGAGTAAGTGCTCATGGAAATATTCCCATCCATCTCCAAGAAACTTGGATCAGATCCTAAGCTTGAGAGCAAGACCAGAGTATATGAAGTTCAACTGATGCATTACTCATTCTAAAATTAAGATTTTCAGTTCATTCAAGATAAACTGTCAGAAGCTGATGTCTGAAGAAGGCTGGATACTAAGGGAGAGGAAAGGGAAATAAATGGGAGATTTCCCTTTTTTTTTTTTTTTTTGCTATTTATTCAGATTGTACTTGTAAAGCCCTGGCTGAGGAGTAACTGAATGAGAAGGCAGCACAGTAGCATGAGCTACTGAAAGGAGAGACCATCACCTATGGACCTGACTCAGGACACAACAGCAGAGGTCTACTCCAACAGGGGTGTCAATTTGGGCCTGACATGTGGAAGATGCATTCAAGGGACTGAATGTAATGTTTACTTTTAGCTTTCACTAAACGATCAGTTCTCACAATAAATGTGCGCAAGAGCTGTGCTTAAAAATACCCCAGTTTCCTATATTCTGCCCATTTAGCTGTTTAAATCAGATATTATCTGAAAATATGGGAGGTGGAAGGGGAGGTAGGACAGCCAGATGAGCTCTTCACCCTTTTCACAGCAGGGCAGCATAAACATGTTGGATAGCACAGAAAAGGCACAAGCTGTCAATGTAGTGAGTTACATAAATACTGTTGCTGCTGAACATGAAACATCAGCTTAAACCCAAAAAAATCTGGGTTAGAAAAAAACTTGGGTTAACTGTTAAAGACATTTCAGTCTACCTGATCAACACAACTGGGCATTTTGCATAAAGGCTTTTTCTGGCAGTGTAGTGAAAAAGTGAAAAAAAAAATCAATTGAAACCTAGATACAGATGTAAAAGTCGTTATGTAGATAAAATCCTTGAACAGTCATAAACAAATAAAGAAATTGCTTGCTTTTACCATTGCTGCTGTCAAGCTGAATTTGCTGAACAAATTATTTTGGCATGCATAACCAATCCCCACTTCAACACCTCTTTTTAATGCCCTCTGCATCAATCTCCCTTTTGCTTAAACTATCTTACGTTAATTTTCTGGGTCTCCAGCTTTAGTAACCTGAATTTTGTCTTGTAAATATATGCCATATTGAGCTACACAAACCACTTAATTCCCCATTAGCTTCATCTACTAACTTTGTCTGAAAGTGACTACACATCACAAATATTTATTAGTAATTTATCCTTATGTTAGGTTACACAACATATTGCCCAATCTGTTAAATAAGTCACAGTACAAGTAGGAAAAAGGGAATCTACTATAACATTCCTCCTCTTCTAAGAGGCCCAAGAGGAAAAGATTTAGATATGGATGTAAAATCTCAGTCTTTGTTATATATATAGCTTGCACAAACACACTTATATGACATTTAGTTGGTGTTTTTAGATTTTGTTCCATTATCTCAGTGCCTCTATCCTCCACACAGACGTATCAGTAAACTTGGACATACTCCGCAAACCCAGGTTGTGGGTGCAACCTGCTAGGACAGTCTCTTCTGCCATCCACCTCTGAGCTTCCATCCTCATGATCTCACCTCATCCATTTTGCTAGCACTGTGGTTGATAAAACCAAATAAAGAGCTAAATCGGGGAAGAGAAAGTTCTGCACCAAAGGCAGGGAGAGGCTGAGAAGGAAGGCAGGATCACCCCTTCTGATGGCATGCAAGACTCAGACCAAACTAAACCAAACATGAAACTGCAGCCTCAGAACACTCAAAATAAACCAAATAAGTTAAAATGGCCATTTTTCTTACCCCACAGTAAAAATCTACGTCAGGAAATTTCTTTAGCATTCCACCGAACAAGAACTCATGGTAAGGTATTCAACAAAGAAACAAATCCTAAACATCTGGGATACTAACTTTAAGGAATAAGAATAAACAACTTTCTTACCCCATGATGTTAAGAATTCAGCAGCGTAGCGATAGATACGGTTCATCATTTCAATCACAACAGCATATATAATACTGGGCACAAACAGCATCAAGTTGCTGAAGTTAGACTGATTCTCTTCATGATAGTCCATAGCCCACTGTTCCAAGTCAAAGTAAATCATCATCACGTACAGTGAGAAGTAGAGGCAAAGGCACACGAATGGTAAGGACACCAGATAAATCCGTAACTGTCTCTTAATACTTGAGTACACCGGTTCCTCCCTCCCAGTGACAGGATTGACACCCAGGACACCATGGAAGCCTGGCCTTGGTTCTTCAAACTGTCGTTTCATCAGCAGTGTTCCCCAGCGATATGTCACGATGGCGCAAATCCGCTTCCAAACTTCCAGTATCACAGTGGACCAGAGCAGGTTGAACGTGGCAAACATCACGTATTTGTCATAGTCTTCCCAGGCAAACACATAGTAAGGAATCCCAATGATAGCCATTGGAATCAAAGCAAACGTGAAGTACTCTAAGAAGCCAAAGTAGAGAGCAATGGTTTCGCCAAAGTAGCAACGTATGTCATCTGCAGAGAAAAATTAATCAATTAATACTATATTTAATGGTTTTTTCCTAAGTAACACAATGAATATGCTTTTTTGCTCATCCTTCTCCTATGTTCCAAAAACTCTGAAGATTATTTGATTGCTTTAAATGTTATATATACACACACACACACACACACACACACACAGACAAACATATATACATATATGCGGATGGTAGGGAAGTCAAATATCACAACACTTAGCATATCAACATCAGATATCCAGAGGGAGGAAAAAAGACAGCAAAACAAAAATAACAAAACCCCACACAACAGCATTCTTGAAAACCAAATCTATCCATGAATGGCTAGGATGGCACGGAAGACATTTGGTATAATAAAAACCAAACTTTAACAAGCGATGCCTAACTTCTAAAGCTTCTCACTGGTATATACACATCTGGGAAACAACTTTGTTACAGTCTGCTCAAGGCCAAAAAAGGATTGGTTGTGCTCTGTCAGCCCTCAAGGAACTAAAGGAATAGATGGAAAGGTACACTGAAATCTGAAATCTTAAAACATGTCAGATAGCACATCCAGGCTGAGACATTCCCTTCAGCAGACAACTGACACCTGAAATGCATACTTGCTGTACTCACTGAGGTTGTCTGTTCAGGTGTTATAAAGACTTGAAAAGTACACTACTAATGGATATATTTCATGACAGATGTATTGCCTCCAAAGACAACAAAATCTCACTTATCTTACTACTAACAAAAAAATGTAGGAGTATTATCCAACATAATCTAGAAATGGCACCACAAAATAAGATACAGAAATGCCTAGCAAACTGAGTTTATAATGCTGAAGTCTGTTTTATCTTTGCTTTCTTGGAAGACCAAATTACTTGTATCCCACTGCTGTGTATTCACCAGCTTAACAAAACAACCATGACATCGTGATCTCTGAATTGACACTGTAAATGTACTCTTCATAAAAAAACTGGCACATCAAAAACTCCTGTGCAATACCAGAATATTGTTACAGCTTTACAAAACACTACAGCAGAAGTTCACAACTGCCAATCTGATAAGCCTCTGAAAACAAGAGGGAAAGGCAAACAGACAGAAGAATCAGCACTCCAATAACCCTACCAAAAATTAACAGGTTCAACTGTGGGTCATTAGCATCATTTCACACTCCAAACATACCATGAAAGACATTCCTAAATGAGTACACATGTAACAGGGCTCCTGGGATTTACTTTGAAATCTTGTGTGTATTCAATGTCAGTAAAAAAACAACAACAAAAAACCCAACAAAACCCTCCTGCGTAAACAAAAGGCGAGCACACAGTAAGAACCCCAACACAATACTCTGGAGGCAGGCATTATCTAGCCAGATCTTTAGCTTCCTGTAGCTCAGGAAAGAATGTCACGCAACTGCCGGACAGATTAATAATCAGGCAAACTCCTAAACACTTATTTTCTTACTTTTAAGTAAAGCTTACAGGTTTGGAATCCAGAACTCAACTCTCCACAGTGCCATACTAAAAGTTATTTTAAGCTTATTCAGTGTGTAAAACATATTCAAGTGAAACTGGCATGCAACAGCACAGTCTTGCTACAGACAATGAATTTAAAACAAACAGCTGCAAACACATTTTTTACATGTTTACAACTCAAAATATTTTATGGAATTCCAGACATTGAGGAGCTTTCCTGTCAAGAGCCAATTTGAGAAAATAGTCTTGGCTTGGGTCCATTACTGCTTTACTGATGAGTAGGAAAAACTTGTGATGTGCAGACTGTTGTTAGGTGAAAGCCTGCAGACGCTGAATCTGCAGGCTCTGAGCCACCAATTTTGCAAGTCTCGAACAGTTTCAGGAGGTTACACAGGAAATACTGGAAGAGTAAAAACTTGCACAAGTGGTAAAGGAGTAATGGTCTAATTTTAAGACTCTGTGCAAGATGATCACAGTGCAAATGCTGAACCTTTGAACTGCCCCCCAGCTCCCACTTGACAACTCTGACCAAAGGCCTACACACAGAACTTCCGCAGCCAGCAGAAAAAAAATGAAGAAACGGCAGCCTGCACATCCAGCACTTCACTCCAGAACAGTTGTATCCCAAATCATCATAGCAAAAGATTATCCTACAACCATCTTGTTGTAGGATAATTCAACGAAGAGACCTGAACTATGAATGTCAACAAGTCTGGAAATGTGGATGCTTCCTTAACCACAGCCAAAGCCACTCTGATGTTTCCAAGGGCAGTAAAAGCAAGGCTGGGTAAAACAAGGATTTTGGTTCACAACGGCCAACAAAGCAATTAGGGCAGAAAGATAATGCTAGAGGAGGTGAACTGCAAGGGGTAATTGGGGATGTGAAAGGGTAAACTCTTAATGAAACAACTGGCTTCCTGGTACAATACTTACCTTCCACACTGGAGTTTCACCTTCTATAGAGGCTAAAATCTGGAGTAGAAGTTACAAAGAACCCTTGGTCTTCTCACACTAAGTGAAGAGAAACCTTCTCCAGAAGAAAACCTGCACTTTATTTGTAGTGGAGTAAGGGTTCACGTACCTAAAGGTTGATAGCCAACTTTCACTCGGCCATACCAGCTGTGACGGAGCTTTTTCAACTCTTCTCTGTCATGCAGTGGGAAAATCTGAACTAGAACACCACTAGTCAATAATCTTCTTACTGGAAGGAAAAAGAAGAAAAAAAACAACCTTGTACTCCTTCAAAGGACAGTGAAGTTAACGTAAGCAAACAAATTACATTATGTAATCAGCAAGCCAAAACTTCCTTTGAAATATATCTAGCATTTAAATACTAAAAACAAATAAATTGTCTGCATGCTAGTGAAAAATTATTCAGTATAGAGAGCAGTTCTACCTACTCCTCAAAGATTGTGCTGTCCACTGGAAGAGAAAGAGTAACATTTTTACATCTATTAACTATTCCAGGGTTTGCAATAGAATCAGTTGTAGCTTGAATGACAAACTGAAATACCATGTGTGGCTTTGGGGGGAAAGGTCTGGCTATTGCATTTGAGCAAGGAAAGGTATAATAAATCAAACTGACATAGCAAACCCAAAACAAAACACTAAATTAAAGAGCCATTGTTGAACTAATGAGAAAGATACTAAAAACCTGTTTTTGAATTATCAATTTAAACTAATTCATAAATTGCAACACATCTTCATTGCAAACAAACCAAATATTCCACAATATGCATTTAACTTTTTTACTGAAAGCAATATCACCTGTGTGGGTAAAAAAAATTAAACTGCTCTAGAAGTACCAACCATAGAAACATTAAAAAAAAGAAATTCAGAAACAGGAGAGAGGATGCACTGAAAGTTGTGTGATAGTTTTTTACCGTTTCCCATCTGCATCTAGTTGACATAACTAGAAAAATACCTTAGTATATAAAAAATTACCAGTGTAAACTCATCTGATATCTACATTTATTTACATTTCTTGAACCACTGATACGCACAGATGTCTTTCTTTGATGAGTAACACTAATAAATAAAGACATTGTTATTAACAGGACATACAAGTATTAACATAAATTCTCCTAAGAAACTTTAGCGTCTCTGCCAATAAATTAGTTCCAGCTACCATAAAAATAGCACTAGCTCTCATTGCTCTTTTCTCCAATGAAAAGGAGGAGCTCTTGAAGCAAAGAGGAGTATAAATGAAATCAAATGAATGAAATAAAACTTAGTTCCTTCATACTGTGAAATGTATAGCTCTGGAACACTGTTACTCATTCCTGTATTTTTATACAGAGACAATCCAAGTATATATAATTATATAGTTTTTTTTAAATATTTTTGGTACTAATTATAAAAATAATGGATGACATCAACATATGTGAAAATTATCCAGCTGAAAAAAAGATAAGGCCAGAGCCTCAGCCTCACAGAAAGACTCAGGATAGAAGGCTCTCTGGAACTCATCTGGTCCAACTTCCTGCCCAAAGTAGGTCCAGCTTAAACGGGGCTGCTCAAGGCCTTGTCTAGTGAAGTTTTAAAAGTGTCCCAGGACAGAGTTACCACAATTTCTCCAAAACCCTGTTCCAATGTTTGATTACTGTCATTATGAAAAACATTTTCTCAATATCTACTCAGAATTTCTCTTGTTGCACTGTGCATCCACTACCTCTTGTCCTATCATTGTGGAGCAGTGAGAAAACAAAGTTGATTAAAAAAAGTGCAACTTTAGTGTCTGAAGGATTTCTTTTCATTGCAGGAAAAGTAAGTTTTGTTCACCATGCATGCTACCCTACATCACCACAGTGAGTTACAGGCAACAAACCCCATTGCTTACCTATTGACTTTCCTGGATATAGCTTTGCCTGAGGATATCCAGGGATCATTTTTTCATCCTTAGCTCTCAAATTTTCAAGTTCATGTTTGATGATATACTGACATTCTGCCATTGTAAGGAAGTTGTGATTGTCATCTAAATCAAAAAAAGATAGTATGAAATCGTGCAGCATAGAAAGACAACTCTGGCATCAAATAACTATCAAAAATTACAAGAATCAGAAAAAAAAAGATTAGGTGACAACTACTGCCAACCAACATCCATTAGCAAAAACTCCACTTTTTAAAATAAATGTTTTGAGAAGAAGCTTTCTCTAACTGGCCCATGTTGGCCACTGCATTTCTGGCTACCCAGGTGAACAAAGACAACAAATCACTCAAGAGATAAGGACATCCCTGAAGTACTAACTGCTGGAGGCTAGGATAGTCTACCAGAAAGTACTAGATAGCTGTGCCCTGCTGAAAAACTCTTACTTAGGCATCCACTATTGCCAGCCTCAGAATCACCTCTAGCCCTTTTCTGCAATACAGTTCCTGAAGTATTTTCGTAAGGAAAAACAGCAAGATGTCAAGATAAATCTCCTTTTCAGCAAGTATTTTGCATCTAATATCACAGTACCTTGCTCTCTATTGTCCAAACAACATAATGATAAGCCATTTGAGACAATTAGTTCTAATAAAAAGCCTTTCCAAAAAACCCAAATTTTGAAGAGCTACAGCAACAAGCCTATCATAAACCCTATCAATTTATCATCAAGGAAACAGAGTCTGATTTGCTTGAGATAAGGACCAGTTTACTATGTTTTTCCCTTAGGGAACAACATACTATAGGGATGGCCCTAAGCACACTAAGAAAGAAACTAAAACAGCAACAGTTCTCTAATACAAAGCATAAGAATATAGTATCAGTTACATTGAGGAAATAGAAATATCAGTAAGACAACAGGCTGCAGGGTGTCTTCTGTAGATAAGACTTTTTTCATATTTAAGCATGATCAACTATTTTATCACCTGATCAGATCTGGACAAAACTAAAATTAGTGGTGTTTTGGGGTTTTCTTGGTGTGGGTGGTTTTTTTGTTTTGTTTTGTTTGGTTTTTTTGGGGGTTTTTTTTTGTGTTTTTTTTTTTTTTAAAAAAAGACCAGTAGATAAAGCAAAAATTATCTTTTAGATTTACAGTAGTTGGAGTTCCAGCTGCTACAGGAATCTTTTAGTAATGACAGTCAGATTACAATTAAGAATTTAAACACATGAAAGAAACAGAAATGACACCTTTATAACTGACAACTCTTCTCAAGGCTTCCTAATTTCAGGAAAGCAAGGTCACAGAAGACACGACACGGCAACAGTTACTGCACACAGTAGCAGCACTGAATAAACTGGCATCAAATCAACAACAAAACTCAACTTTGTTATTGTTTCAGACAGACCTGAGAACCTTGAAATGTTGAAAATGCGATGAAAGGCATCACCAAAGCAGGCACATGGAGAGTATTGTAAGACTAAGCTGGAACTCCAATATTTACCTGGAGAACAAAATAAGTCCTGCCCCTGTAGGGGGGGTTAAATACCTTATAAGTAATATATTTAAAAGAAAATGTTACTGTGTTGGCATCTCCTCAAAATAAAAAGAGGAAAAGGAATGATTTTGCTAATCATGTCCAAATTCCATTTAATAGCTCTGTAGTGTTATTTAATTATTTAATTCTGTTTGACATGTCAATATAATAGAGCAAAATATTTCTGTTTTCTCCAGCTAATTATAAAATAATAAGCCTCAAAACTGGCTCTCAGAAATTAAATTGCTATGTTAATTCATAACATTGATTGTTAATTCTGCACTCATGTTTATCAACTATTTGTTGTTGGTTTATTTTCAACAAAAATCTTTCATACAAATAAGAGACTATCAGGAGCACACAAAAGCATGAAGTAAAGCAAAAGCAAAATGCAAAAGCCATGTGAGAGAAATAAAAATCACTGTATGGTATTAATTTCCATAGGTAAAAGAGTATTTTTTCCATGGCTTGTTCTTCCTATTCCTGTGCACTGTTACCATTCCAAGGAATATAAAGACTATGAAAGATTTAGCAGTGAAATTTCTTATAATTCTAGCCACAGCTTTGCAATGACAAAGATCCCTAAAATTGCTTACCTGCAAAATCTTTGAAAGTTTTTCTACTGCTGTATGTAAAAGTTCTCATTGAGTTGTCATTACATTCCTTCACCAAACCCACGGTTTCAGCTCCCAGCAACAGCCTTAAGGGGGAAGCTCCAACTAGATAAATATTTTCACCTTCATTTTCTGTGACCAATGGTTTAACTAGCAGTTGTGCACCTTTAAAGTAAAGAAAGGCAATAAGGAAGAAAATACATAAAAATAACATCTCAAAACCCTATTTTTTAGCATCCATTTATATTGAACCTAGTTATCAGGAGCAGTGAAGCTGCATCTTTTCAATGGCACAGAGAATTAAAGCTTCAACAGCACCTGACACGTGGTGTTTAGCATCTTGCAGCATTCACAGACAATGAACTGGAACAATGTGGAGAATTTGGATCTACTCCTGTCATGCTCAAATCACGTAAGCAACCAGTGCTTCTGCAAACAGTCCTGCTCATTTGAAAGAGACTAGACTTTTGGAATACAAACATCCCTGACTTTTGAAACAGAAACATCCCTGACTCATCCAACAGAGGCCTGAAAGCAAGCTTATAAACACAAATCCAATAGCCACAGAAACATTACTGACTATAAGATATAAGCTACAACCGCCATAAAAAAACGCCTTTCTAAAAAATATACCAAAAACATATAAGGAATTACAAATTAATTAGCCTAACTTCAACTCCTGGAAGTATACTAAAATGAGTAATGAAATATTGTCTTTGTAAGAGCCTACAACCTAGCAAAATGATAATTAAAATCCAACATGAATTTATCAAGATTAAATTGCTTCCTGCTAACTTAACTTCATTCTACAACATGGTACCAAGTCTTGTGGACAGGATAGTAGATGTGATGCATCTTAATTTTGGCAAGGCTTGCAACATTCTCATAAGCAACAAGAGAAACGTGCTCTAGACAATTAATATAAAAACTGATATCAAAACTATGTTGAAAGCAAGGTTACCAGGGTTTCACCACAAAAACTGAAGGATTCTAGAGTTCAACAGGTCAATACTTTCATTAATAACTACGTTAACAGCGTTCAGTCAGTACATTTTCATGACACCAGCATGAAGCTCTACTCTTACATAAAATTAAGCAACTTCAAAAATGTGAACTGAAGTGGGATTGGATAAACAATAATTAAACCACAAAATACCTGAAAACTAATTTTCTATACATCTATCATATTATGACAGGTAATTTGATTTCAAAGTGTTACAGAAGGTCATACTGTACTCACCTCCGTTTGCTTTTTTGTCGACAATTCGTTTAGTGAACCATTCTATGGTTTCTTCTTTGGCACCTTTTGCAAGCTCAATCACTACCAGAGGCCTGAAGTTATCCTCAAAAGCATCCAGGAAAGACCATCTTTTCTCCATCTTGGGAGAACCTGCTAAGTGCAAAAACTTAAACAAAAATGCTAGTGTTAAAAAAAATTTTGTATCAATCTAAAAACCACAAAAATTTACTATAGTCAATTATATATGTCTGTGTATAGCAAAGTTGCAGGTGCCCATTTCTGTGGATCTACTGAAAAAGAAGTTTCAGTAACCTCTCCAGCTGTCATTTGGCAAGATGCTTACCAGTCTTCGATGGCATTTATGCCCTACTCTCCAAGTAGGAAAATTGCCATTGCTAGGTATAGCAAAGCAGTAGTGATAAGAAAACAAACAAATAAATTAAAACAAAATAATAAGGAGAACTTACCTGAAACAACAGCTTGCAACTTCCTATGGTGTATTTATCAGCAAATGAAAACATTAACAGAAGAGAGCATTAGTCAGACAGATATCTAAAAACAGTAAGCTTGTCCTGGTGAGAGTGTGTAAACACATCACACGTTTAAGGAGGAACCTTCTCAGTTAATCTTGTGAAGCTTTAACCATACCAAGGAAACTCACACCACCCTGGGTAGGTGAGCAGAACACCTATCATATAGATAAGCACATTATGCACAAAGCATTAAAATGTCTTGTTGAAAGACATAAACCAAGTGTTCCGTGACAAAGTCCAGCTGCAAAGTGATGAGCATAAACATAGTTTTATATGTAAATAATGCAAATGATCCAAATGAACCTTTATAAAACTATAATTTAGGTTGGAAAAGACCTTTAAGATCATTGAGTCCAACCGCAAACCTAGCACTGCAAAGTCCATCCCGTCTTTTAAATACCTCCAGTGATGGTCACTCAACCACTTCCCTGGGCAACCTGTTCCAGGGCTTGACAACTCTTTTGGTGAAGAAATTTTTCCTAATATCCAATCTAAACCTCTGCTGGCACAACCTGAGGTCATTTCCTCTTGTCCCGTCACTTTTTATTTGGGAAAATGAGACCGACACCCACCTTGCTACAACCTCCTTTCAAGTAATTGCAGAGGGTGATAAGGTCTCCCCTGAGCCTCCTTTTCTCCAGATTTAACTCCAGTTTTCTCAACTCCTACTCACAAGTCTTATATAAATGTTGAAGGCACAATGTCAACAAATTATTCTACAGAGATCTTTATATCATGCTTCATAAAGAAATTCAGACGTGTTTATATAAAAAGATAAATCTGGTAACTAAACTTTCAAGTTAAAAAAATATACATTAAAAAAAACCAAAACAAAACACCACCCCCAAAAAAACCCACCCACAAAAAAACCCGAACTATCACAGCCTGAATGTACTGAATTTAGAACTCAGGGTAAGGTTTAGGCTTTTTTTTTTTTGCTATTAACTTCACTGAAGAAAAGATTTACTCATTGTCTTTAAGCTGTTTTGCCCCTCCTGTTCAAAGTCTGAAATTATTTAATTTCTAAGTAAGTTGCTCTAAGGATGCTATTCAGCTTTCATGACAGTTATACTTGTGTGATTCACAATCACAGTCTCCAGTATTTCATATAAATTATCCTACAAAAACCAGTGATATTGTGAGAAACGTGCTCACAAAATGCAAATTTAAAGACAGATAAATTCTGTGAAGCAAAGGTTTATTGGCAGCATGCTGGGTGCATTCAGGAAGTGGGATGCCTGAAAAGCACATCTGCTAATACATTGTTTATTTACAGTAACATTCATTATCATAGCCACACATTTTTACAAAGTTATTTACATATTCAACAGTTTTCCAGGGAAATCTTTAACATAAGTTCCCGCCCATTGTCACACGCGGACTAAAATCCTGGGGTGGTCGTTGAGGGTCACAGGGATGAAGGCTCAGAGTCTTCAGGATGAAGGCTCATTGTCTTCATCACTGTAAACTTTTCACCTTTATTGTTTCTGTGTAACTAGTCGTGATTTAAGCCAGCTTCTTGCAGCTGTGTCAGCTCATTAGCTCCTTATCTTCAAGGATGTTCTGCTTATCTTAGCTTTGAAGCAACCCCCTTTCTGTCTTTGAGATTTACCTCACTCTGTGAATGTAGAAATCTTCCAAGCCTTGACAGATTTACAGGCTTCACAAATACCCTAGAAGTTACCAACTCCATCTGAATTTCCTCCTCCTATTTTTTTCTTTTCTATATACAATGTGAATTCTTTCACTTTCCACTGTGCCCCATTACCAATTACGGTTTTACTGATTTTTTGGTAAGATTCTCATCCTGTTATGTTCCAAAGCACCACGTCTTATAAAACTTATTTCAAGACCTTAGTCATGTTTCTATACTCTAATGCTTTAACAAATTACTTCCCACAAACAGTTTCTCACAATACCATAAGCATATGCACATCATAATAAACAAGTCTATTTGCTTTTGACTGGAAAAAAAGCTTTCAAGCCAAATTTCAATGAGGTTTTCAGTTAGCTTCACTTGCCAGCTCATAAGCACACAATTCCACAGCATTCAGATTTACAGCTCTGAACCCAAGTATGCATGCTTTTAAAATACTTAAGTTTAACACAGTGTTTAAAAACACTGTAGATGCAAATCTGCACAAGCAGAATGATTCAAAGGAGAACATAATCAGCAATTGGGCACTCTGACTATCAATGACTGACTACACTGTCTTGATGAGCTACTCCACCTTACTGCATCACTTTCCATAAACAGTTTTATTTAAAAAAAAAAAAGTCTGTCACATTGTCCATATGGCAACTTCCATGGAATTTAAAGAATGAAGAGCACTAGATAGTTATTAATTAATCCTAGTTAACACTATCACTTTGGAGAACACTTACCTTCTGAAATAGCCTTCGAACAACATGCAACTCAGTAAGCTTGGCTCCTATCATTTATTCAGAATCACTGTCCGTGGCATGGTGACCAAGTAAGAATTATTATTTTTCAGCTCATTACTACCAAAAATCAGAACGGGGCTGAAGCACTCCTACAACTTGCAACTTATTATTTCCTACACCACACAGGAGGCAGTTCAATGCTTAGGACAGACCCTACAGGACATAACCCGTCCTCTTCTTTCTTACCTATGCACAGTACAACTTATGACAGACCCAGAAGCGTGGGGGAACAGAGGCAAAAGGATTCCTAACCCCCACAGCCCACTGCCCCATCACGAAGCCGTGGAGGGGATGGGGGCGGGGGGGTGCTGCCTAGAGCTGCCTCCGAGCCCGCGCATCCTTCAGGGGCAGCAGGAGCTACAGCCCCTTTCCAAAGCCCTTAGCCGTCACCACATTAAGGCGAACCATACCGGCACTCCCTGCTGCCCCTCACTCTCCTTTTATAGGAACCGTACAAGCAGGGAGGAAGGGCCCGGCCAGTGACTCACTCCC